GATTAGTCCTTAGAAAAATTCAGGATTTTCAGCGTCGTCCTGGTTAGTGCAAGGAATATGAGCGAGAGCGATAGACAGAAAACCAACTTGCAAAATCACGAAGTAGCTCAGATAGTCTCGAACCAAGCAGAGAGCTTAGTGCACCGAGATACCATACAAATAAGAGCGATACAATGAACTCGAATGCCAATGTCGCCACTCCCTCGTCACACCGACATTGGATCCGATGTTGCTCTCACTGTCTGGCGCCCAGCGCCCAGCTTATCCGACTGAGCCTATCTAGCCTATCTACGTTCTTGCAACTGGAACACTCTGAAGTTGAAGACCAATGTACGTGATGTCGACACCAGTGCCAACCACCAGCATACATCAGGTGCATTCTCTCTCCTCTCCTCGTCACCTCTTGCACCCCACACCTCATGCCCCTCCTACCTGAAGACCACTTTCGCTCATCACCTGTGTGCGCCCCTGCAGCCCGGCTATGGCTGCCATGCACCCGCTACCCTGCAGCGCCCTCTCACCTCATAGCGCCCGCGTGCGCCCCAGCCAGCAGTGCACATGCAGACACTTGCATAGTAACGCAGCGGTGTGTCCGCATTGCCTGCCTAGACCAGCCTATCTCCTCTGGCCAGCGATCTCCCTATATGGAAGTTGCGGCCTCTGTTTGGCTGCGAGGGCCTGGCTGAGGAAGCTCCCGATAGCTTCCAGTCGGGCCCCGATGTCTGCGTCCAGGCCTTGTCCGACAGTTAGGGGCCTGGGCCCTTTCTGGTTGGGCACGTCCAGGCAGCCGCCTGGCTCCAAGTGTTTGCCATTTTGTCATTGGCTCGCTGGGCCTCTGTGACGACAATGCTGCATTCTGATTCGTCCGCGGCAACTTCGTGATGTGTCGGCCTCGCACTGCGTGTGCCCAGGGCGCAACCACCCGGCCCTGGGCTCAACTGCTTGACGCAGCTGCTGTTTCTGGAAAAAAGAATCCCAGGGAGAGGCTTACGTTGCACTTCAACCAACTGGCGTGCTGCTACTGTCTGATACCCACATTGGAAAATGCTGAGATAAGGGTCTCTCATGGATGTTCAGGCCGGGCGGGCACGAGGCTTGCTGGGGGCCACAGCCCAGATCATGTGCATGTTGGCCAGGGCCCCGTGAGGACACATCCATTCGAATGGAATGCCCCAGTGGCCAACTCCACAGAGCAACTGTGCAAGTACGCCATTGATTACTTTCAGGATATAGTGTCTACGCGTAGAACTTTTGATACCCCGGAGACGGTCCTGTCTGAGGACTCTAATTTTTGGGTATCCTCACACACAAGAATCTCGGCATCAGACCGTTGCCAGCTGGGGGAACCTCTAACAGCCACGGAGCTGTGGAGAGCAGCCAAACAAATGGCATTGGGTTAATGTCCTGGAATAGATGGCCTGCCAATCGAGCTGTTCTTATCCACCTGGGAGCCATTCGTCCCTTTTTCTTCTCACAATTTACAACAAGGCCTTGGAGTCAGGGTCAAGTGTATTCCTCAGGGGGTGATTTCACTTTTGTATGGAAAAGCGGATAAAAAAGAGGTAGGGAACTACAGGCCAATCTCGGTGCTGAATGTGGTCTATAAGCTTCTGGCCAAGGTTCTCACCCTAAGGTTGGCTGATCTCCTCCCCTGCCTGATCGGCTGGGAACAGGGGGTGCCTTCGTGAGAGGGAGGTCAAGTTTTGAAAAATATTCTCACAATGATCCAGGCCCTGGAGGTAATCAGCAAAGAAAAAAGAGAAGTGGCTGTGCTGTTGTTGGATATGGAGAAGGCCTATGATAAAGTAGGCTGGGCCTTCGTCTTCACCACTCTATGGAACCTGGGTTTTGGCCAAGGGTTTTGCAGATGGGTGAAGGCAATGTATGCTGAAGCGTCCTCCAATTGTAAACGGTAAGCTGTCTAGTGAATTCAAATTGACCCGATCCCTTCGTCAAGGCTGCTCTTTAGCTCCGTTGCTGTTTGTGATTCAGTTAGAAACACTGCTGGATAATATCAGATCGAACCCAAGGATCAAAGGTCTGTCACTATCCCCCTCTCTACAATGGAAGGGAGGGGCGATAGCGGATGACCTCACTATTGGTGTTGAAAACTCTCCAGGGGTTCTTATAGAGTTGCGTAAGGTATTGGATGAACAATGTTGTTTGTCTGAAGCCTCGATCAATTGGAACAAGTCAGTTTATTTCTTACCCCCCCCCTTTGAGTTTTGTGTGGACTGGGGACTGAGACAAGTCCCAACTGACACTTCTGAGCGGCTCTCGGGAGTCCAGGTTTCGCTGTCAGTCAGCGGGACTGCGCAGGACACCATTCTGAGCGAGACGATTTCGGCCAGAATTACCGGTTGGATGAAGAACTTCAAACTCTCATTATTCCGTGGGGCTTTGGTGCTATCCAGGTGGTCTTTTCAATTCTATGGTTTCCCCTGACAGTCCATTTGGTAGGGGATGAAGCCTACTCTAAGATAAAGAGAGCCGGTTCAAGGTATGTTTGGAAACCTGCAGCTGCAGAAGATGACAATTTCATCTCAAAAGTGGAGTGGGATGCCATTACCCTACCAAGGGACCAGGGAGGATTGGGGATCCTAAATCTAAAGCGTCAGAATCTAGCACTATTGGCAAAATGGCCTGTGCAGTGAATGAGAGAAAGTGAACCCAAGCTGTGCATCCGCTTCGCCGAGTACATCCTTGGGAAGGAGTGGGACCTCTAGCAGGGTGCCCATATGTTTGTTTTTTTCGGCGGATGGGGCATCAGGGTCTTGCAGGCTAGCATGGATAGCAAAAGGTGTCCTGCAGGTCAAGGGTCTGTGGGATTATGACCAGGGGTCATGGTTGTCCTTGTGCGAGGCCACAGCCTCGATGAGCCCCTTTCAGGCCCTGTCAAGCAGCACGCCGGCCGCCCTAAGTGAAGGCAGGCTCGACGAGCACCTGAGGGCCCCTATTTCGGCCACCATGCAACTAAGGAAATTCAGGCAGTTGCGCAGCGCCAGTTGGTTGAAAGAACCCAGGCCCTGGGCCGCCTGTTTTCATGTATCGAAGGCAGGCCCTGGGCTGGATACGGGATGTGGGCCAAACACAGGCCGAAGGCAGTTGGGCACAAGCAACCACCTCAGGCCCTGGGCCTGATTTGTTTCGGACTGGGCCTCAGCCTATCGGGGCCTACCGGAAGCTTCTTGGGAAAGGCCCAGCGCAGCCTGGGACAGAACGCAGGCAGGCCACTTCCATATAGCAAAGGGCCTGCCTCCGCATTGGACATTCAGGTGCTGGCTGCATGCTGCGCAAGCGCTGCTGCGCTGAAGCTGGCTAGCGCTCAAGCGCTCACAGGCGAGCTGGAAGGAGCACGCAGCCATAGCCGAGCTGCGCTGCTGGGAGTTGGGTGAGGCCCAGGGTGGTCCTTGGGTGCATGTGGCATCTGTGTTGGGGAACGAGGTTGTGAGTGATGCGAGAGACATACCTGGTGCTGGAAGCGTGCGGCATTGGCCGCTATCTGCTCGTACTTCGGGAGAGCTTATGTCGTCATCTTTGGCATTGTAGTCTAGGCTAGATAGGATCTGCCATCTGTAGTCTGGGCGCCGAGCGCCAGCTAGGATATCAACATTGGTTCTTCGTTGATGATGATGATGAGACTATTCCAGCATTGTCAATTATGAGCTTTTGGTGTGCTCTTATTTGGTGAAACTCGTTATGCAATTCTGCTCTTGGTTCGAGGTCACGACTATCTGGTCTGATGTGTATGATGCTGTTTGATTGCTGAAGTTCACTACTGCTCATCTTCCTTGCAATTTGGTATTAGAGTTGTGGTACGTTGCGCTCATCTGGCGCTCGTCTTCTGCCTATGCGGTACATACATGCGGTCTGCTTGGTGAGTGAGGCCGTAGGGGGGGTGTAGCGAGGAGGGCGGAGACAAGGTGTGGCGACCCAGGAGGAGAGGGGAATCGCCAGGAAGGCTACGATGTGTATATTGGGTGTTCGCAGTGTGATGAGAACTATCTGGTGGTTGATTGATGCTGAGGTGGAACGACGAGATAATGCTGGTTGTGCCGATGCAGTGACTGGTCATCCCAATCGCCATCAGCTCATCTGGTGAGAATATTTGTGGTTGGGGGCAGCTACAATGAGGTACGTTGCTCTTAACCTTATCTACCCTCTTCATCACTTCTTACCGTGAGGTTGTGAGTTCCTTCTTGAGAGTCCTCTCATGTGAGGTGTCATGTGCGCTCAACCTTGAGAGTCGGCATTGTTCATGTGGAGCATTTGGAAGGAGAGGGCGGTGCTTTCTGAAGGGCCCTGGACGGAGCACTGGGTCACGGTCACCATTCCAACCCACCGGGAGTAGAGCACGGATGCTTTGTTGCTTTGTCCTTGTCTGCTTGCTGTGCTCATAGAAGGGGTACTGAAGAGCAGGCCAACCCTATGGGAGAGACGAGTACCGGGCGTCTATAAATAAACACCTGGTGGGGAAACCATTGGCTGTGATCGTCGTCCTGCTGCGACGTAAAATAATTCTTGATGACACTTGGGGGCGGTCGTTAAATTGCCTCTGGATCAGCCAATTGGTGTAAGGCTCGCTGCACGCGAGGATAAACACGGTGCAGGGCTGGCCAGCTCAGCAGCTACTCGGGGCACAGGGGTGGGCCGTGTGCACACCTTCAGTCACGCACGCCAAACCGGATTGCTCAAAGACGCTGACGTCAAGTGACAATCAAGGGGAATTGGGGAAGGGGTAGATTCCAGGTGGTAAGTTTGAGTAAGATCCCATGCTGCAAACAGACCCAACAAATGATGCTATTTTTTATTTTGATTAGTTAGATGTACTGCCATTGACATCTGACAGACAACATAGTTTAGAACTGATTGTGTTCATTGTGCTTTCTGTTTGCGAGCTAGTCAAAGTAGAATAGTATTATTTGTAGGAATCTGAACTTACCTGGTGGACTCGAATGTTTAGTCTCTAATATAGCTGCCGATTATTTATACCGGTCTGTACATGTCGCTACGGTAGGCATCCATTGCGTGTCCTAGTGCAGTTCTGTAGCATATGAGCGATAGGGACACCACTAGTGAGGACGACCAGATCTTGCGATGGGCTAGACGCCCGATAGCCCACTTTGCCTTAGGACCAGAGGGCGACAAATATCTGTTCCGCCAACTTAGGGAGAGGCAGCAACAGCAGCGGAGGGCTAGGGCAGCAGAGACCAGTAGAGCATTCGCAAGCGAAGCCACTGTTTCAGCAGCTATGGCAACTGCTGCGCAACAGAGTTCCCAGGCCAACAGTTCAGGGTTTGTAGGGTCAACGGTTGCACAAACCCAGAGTCAGTCGGCTGGAGTTATGGCAAGCCAGCCAGTGGTGTTGTCACCCGAGGAGATCGCCATACAGCAGGCTGCCCTGCAAGAGGCACAACTACAGAAGGCTTTAGGAGAGATTAAGGCAGAAAAAGAGAGAATGATTAGAAGAAGAGCCAGGTTGCAGCGGCGACAAGAGGACATTAGTGAGTTAGAGGAGATGGACCCTGCAAAGTTGGATAATCCGGTGAGGGCCCTGAGGTCGGTCTTGTTAGTAGTAGAGATGCAAGACCAGCAGACGGCAACCTTACAGGACATCCAATAGAGTCTGGCCGATTTGGTCGGATGAGCGCAGGCAGCATCATCATTGTCCGGGCCTGGTTCCTGGCCCATTGTACATCCTCCTCTTGTTCCACCGGTGACTGGGGTATCCCCATATACCGCTCCAATATCGGTTCAGCCTGTCTCCCTGGGTATGCTGTTAACAGGAGGGCTCTCAGCAGGTCCTAGTTTACAGGTTCCTGTACAGACAGTGTTTACCCAACCTCTGTCGCAGGTTGCCGTAAGTGTGCAACCTTCTGTCTCGCAGCCTGTACAGCTGCAGGGTACACAACCCCTGCAGTCAGTGCAACAACCTCTATCACAGGGTCCACAACCCGGAGTGATGCAGGGACCGGGACAAAGTCAGTGGGTACTGAAGGCGGCCATCGCCACTCCGAAACCCTTCACAGCGGATAAGAGGGGCGAAGACCTCGACACTTGGTTGCGGGCAGTGCCGGTCTATGTCAAGTGCAAACTTACCTTGCCACACGAGGAAGTGCTTGTGGCTGCGTCCTATTTAGAGGGGAGTGCCACGCGATGGTTGAGTGGTTTAGTGCAGCTACAGGGGTACGGTCATGACTTTCGAGCTTGGGCGGGTCACCCAAAAATTGGATGACTTTCTCAGGTTGGTGGAAGACAGGTGGCACGATTCTTAGGAGGCCCAAAAGGCCACTGACGCGATCCTGACACTGCACACTAGGCAGTTAAGTCAGTAAGAGAGGCCACTGACGCTGTAGAGCGTCTGATCTGTGTCCCTGGGGTGCGCTATGACCCCCAGGTCTTACTCACCTCCTACCTGAGATGCTTTCCCATGCCACTCAGGAATCAGTTGGCAGGTGAGGCCAACATCAATATGCACAACTTCCCCTCGTTCAGCAAGAAGGCCCTAGACCTTGAGGCAAAGATAGGGCATGCACATAATCCCATGACGGATGGTAGGAAGAATTCACTGCCTCCCAACTGGAAGGCGAAGGGCCGCATCATGTTCGTCGACAACGATGGTTCTACCATCGAGTTGGACGACTACTTCCAGGCGGGAGTAGGTTTAGAGGCTGGCAGCGTAGAGGCTTTAGGGGGTGGAGTAGTTGTTGGCGTAGCACAGAAAGGTAAGGCGACCGGTAGAGGCCGTGGAGGTTCGGGTCAAGGAGTCAAGTTGACCCCAATGCTCCTCCATGGGAGAAAGCGGGTCTCACTGAGGACGTGTGGAGAGATCGGTACACACGGCAGGCTTGTATCCGTTGTGGCCAATATGGCCATAACCGATTTAAGTGCTGAAACAAGAAGGTGACCGAGAAGATCCCGCCTACGATGGGGCAGGTGTTGGGATCCTCCACTCCCGTTGGTAGCAATGTGGCTAGCACTTCTAGCACGGCTCTGGGAAACACGTCGGGCCAGTAAGAATAATAGCTGTCCCTGCTAGGGTCGAGGTGGTGGACGCACCCTCACCATCTCGAGAGATGGCCCAAGCTACCGACTCCAGCGTCGTCCCGCAAACACGTTCAGACCCATCAAGCCTCTGTTCGATGAATGTGTTCGAGTCCTTAGAGGAGCTAGAGGAGGAGTGGTCTAGATTAGACCCGCTAACTTCTTGGACGATATTGGTCAAAGTCCCTAAGGGTGAGATGTTCGTCAACGAGGTGGTCATTGGCGACCGCAAGGCCGGGGCCTATTATGACACTTGCTCGACACGAAACTTCATTAGTCGCACGTGCGTTGAGAGGCTGCGCTTACAGGGGCAAGTGCAACGGCTGAGTCGACCTGTGGAGTCGACTTGTGCCAACAAACAGCGCAAGGTAGTCAACGACTACCTCCAGGATGTTGAGTGTTGTTTCCTGTACGCGGGAGGGGAACTGAGACACCGTGTCTCGTTCCTAGTGAGCGACGAACTCCCCATGGATATCTTGTTAGGTATGTACTACCTCTCTGTGGCACAACCGCTGTTTGACTGGGACCGAAAAGTGGTCAAACACACTTTGCCAGGTGGAGGGACTGCCATATTACGCAAGTTCAAAGCTGATAGTCTGATCGAGTCCTATGGATGCATGTGTGCGGCCGCGTTCTATAATTATTATAAGCAAAATCAGGAGGAGGGTATGTATCTAGTTTATTTCTCTGCTGCAGGCGAGCCGGTGAAAATGTCGTCGGAGATAGAGGGAGTAGTTGCTAAATACCTTGACCTATTTGAAGAGCCGACCGGGGTTGTTGAGAGAGAGGTCGTCCACACGATAGAGATTATCCCAGGGTCTAGCATTCCAAAGGGTAGGATCTATCGGATGTCTCCGGGCGAGCTTGATGAGCTTCGCCGACAACTCAAGGAACTCGTAGAAAAGGGTTGGATCCGACCGAGTGTTTCTCCTTATGAGTCTCCAGTCCTATTTGTACCCAAGAAGAAGGAAGGAACACTTCGGATGTGCATTGACTATAGGGGCCTCAATGCCATCACTGTCAAGAATTGAGAGCCCTTACCACGCATTGATAACTTGCTAGATAGAGTGCAAGGGTGTCGGTACTTCAGTAAGATAGATCTGAAGTCCGGGTACCATCAGATTGCAATCCGGCCCGAGGATCAGCGCAAAACCGCTTTTCAGACCAGGTACGGTCTGTACGAGTTTGTGGTGATGCCTTTTGGCCTTTGCAATGCTCCTGGCACCTTTCAGCACGCTATTAATCAGATATTTCATGACTACTTGGATAAGTTTTTCATCGTGTACCTCGATGACATACTTATTTTTAGTAAGACTGTCGAGGAGCGCGTTGCTCGCTTGGACAAAGTTCTTGGTCTTCTGCGACAACAGAAGTTCAAGATCAACGGCGAGAAGTGCGAGTTTGGCTGCACCCGAGTTTTGTACTTGGGTCATGAGATTTCCACGGAGGGATTAAAGCCCGATGACGCGAAGGTGACCAGCATTCGTGACTGGCCGCGTCCTCAGTCTATGACTGAGATGAGGTCTTTCTTAGGGATGACCGGCTACTATCGCAACTTCGTGAAGAACTATAGCGTAGTTGCCGCCCCTTTGACTGATCTAACTCGCCTTGACACCCCATGGGAGTGGAGAGACAGATGCGAGGCTGCTTTCATCTGAAGCATGCGTTGACAAATCATTAGGTCTTGAAACTTCCTGATCCTGACAAGCTATTTATAGTAACTACGGATTCTAGCCAATAAGAGGGGAAAAAGTTGAGGCCCGTAGAGTACATGTCCAAAAGATGCCCTCTCAAAAGTTGGCTAAGTCCACCTATGAGAAGGAGCTCTATGCAATCTATAACGCGCTCACCCATTGGAGGCACTATCTCCTTGGGAGGTTCTTTCTACGTCAGGACTGATCATCAGACCCTGAAGTGGATGAGAACCCAACCTGTGCTCTCCGACGCTCTGAAGCGTTGGATTGAAGTCATAGAGCAGTATGACTTCGAGCCCGAGTACATCAAGGGCGAGTACAACAAGGTTGCTGATGCGCTGTCGCGTAGACCTGATTTCTCAGGTGCGCTGATTACTGAGTTCGATCTTATGGACGATGTTACTCGCTCTTTGGTGGAAGCCTATCGCGAGGATCAGTTCATGTCTGAGATCATATGCAGACTTGAGGCGAAGGATGAGAAGACTTCTGCCGAGTTTGAGTTGGTCAATGGCTTGCTGTTCCTTGAGAAGGCAGGGAATAAACGATTGTGTCCCAAATAGAGAGTCTTTGCGTAGTTTATTTTTAGGAGAGTGTCATGATGCCACCGGCCATTTTGGCTATGAAAAGACAGCAGCCAATCTGCTGCAGCGGTTCTGGTGGCCCACGATGATGCGAGATGCCCAGCTGTATGTGGAGACTTGTCAGGTCTATCAGAGAGACAAGCCACGTACTCAGGCTCCTCTTGGGCTCCTGAAGCCCCTTCCGATTCCGGAAAGGCCTGGTAAGAGTTTGTCCATGGATTTCATGGATACGCTCGTCACCAGCAAGAGCGGCATGAGACAAATCTTTGTCATCGTGGACAAATTTAGTAAGTATGCTAGGTTGATAGCCATGCCGGAGAGAGCGAAAACCGAGTACGTTATCAGACTGTTCAAAGAGAACTGGGTAAGAGATTTTGGTTTACCCAAGTCAATCGTGAGTGACAGGGATGTCAGATTTACAAGTGAGTTGTGGAAGGCTGCTGCTGCCGAACAGGGAACGCAGCTGCAGATGACTTCGGGTAATCACCCCGAGGCCAATGGCCAGGCCGAACAATTGAATCGCGCTGTCCAACACCTGTTGTGGCATTACATCAAGCCCAATCAGGTCGACTGGGACGAGAAGCTTGCTCTCATCGCCAGTCTGTATAACAATGCTGTGCACAACGCCACCGGAGTGAGCCTTAACAGTCTGCTGCTGACCTTCAAACCTAGACTGCCTCTAGACTTCTTACTACCTGAAAATTAGTCAACTGCTGCACCCGGTACTTAGAATTTGCATACCGATATGAGCAGAAGATGCAGCAGGCAGTGGAACGAATGCAGAAGGCTCAGGCGGCAATGATAGAATCTGAAAACAAACATCGCCCCCCGTCTACATTTCAGGTTGGGGACAGAGTCTGGGTTAAGTCCTCAGAACTGGGACAGGAGCACGGGATTTCCCGCAATCTCATGCCTCAGTACTTTGGACCATGGGAGGTCTTAGACATTGTATGGACTGATCCGGATGGGCCGTCTTATGTAATCCGGATCCCTGGTCATCTCCGCACTTATCCTGTCTTTCACGCCTCCAAACTTGCACCTTTCAAGGAAACAGACCAGTTTCCCTCACGTCGCTCAATGCTGCCCCCAACTGTGGACGGAGAGGTGGACATCGATGACATCGTGGATCACAGGGAGCTGGCAGTGCCAAGACCGACCGGCAGGGGACGTCCTCCGAAACCGAAGCTGCAGTATCGCGTTCGGTTCTGGCATCATATTGATCCAAAGGAAGATCTATGGGAGGAACTCATGCAGACCGCTCCTCAGGTTGTAGCCCAATACGAGAAATCTCTGCAGAAGGGAAAGCGCCCGATGATTGAAGACTGAGCTTCTCAGAGGACCGTTGAAGCTATGGAGGAGGGAATGCGAGGCCACATCCTCGTGCAGGCACACGGGGATGTGGGCAGCTGCCGCTCAACCACAATCAACGTGGGCAACAATGCGCGTAAAAGGCACAGCAAAATGGGAGCTGCAAGAACAATGAAAGGGGTACCCCAAGAACAACCAAAAAACTGTCTAATTATAAAATTGCTTTAATATGTTGGACATCTCAAATGCTATCGTTGTCTGCAATAGGATAAAGACTGCTTTGATTCTGAATCTATTCACCTGGGTGGAATTGGGGCTGTTGTGGGGAAAATCTAAAACACACACACACACACACACACA